AAAAAGGAACCCTTCTCCACTGCTGGTGGGAATGTAGACTGGTGCAACCATTATGGAAATCAGTGTGGAGACTCCTTAGAAAACTTGGACTGGAAATCCCTTTTAAATCAGCTATTCGGGGCTGGTGAGTGGTTCATTGGTCTAAAGCACCTACTTAGAACAAGCTGAACAAAGCACAGGGCCCGCGGTTCAATCCCCCAGCCCCACATGCCAGCCAGCCCCCAGACCCTGGTGGGCTGAGCTGGCCACACACATACACACACACACACACACACACACACACACACACACACACACACACACACAGAGAGAGACAAATAAATTAATTAAACCAGCTATTCCTCTACTGGGAATTTTCCTGGAGGATCTGAAAACATCATATCACAGGGATATATGTGTGCCTATGTTTATTGTAGCACAATTTGTGATAGCCAAATCTTGGAAACAACCAAGATGCCCATCACTGGAGGAATGATTGAAAAAGATGTGGTATTTTTACACAATGGAGTATTATTCAGCTATTAAGAATGATAAACTCAAAGTCTTTATTTTGAAGTGGATGCCACTTGAAGATATACTCATAAGTGGAATAAATCTGCATTCTGTTTTATCGGTCCTTGGTTTCTCTTGGGAAATAATTTACCTGTTGGGCTTGGGGGTTAGATTGGCCTGCAGCTCCCCCTGAGGGCCACTACTGTACTTTGTTGAAGGTTACAGAGCCCTGTGCCTAGGGTGTCTTCCTCTTGTTTTACAGGCAAAGGTTCCTTGGTGTGTTCCTTAGCATCTGTCAGCCAGGCTGGGAGGTTGTAGTAGAAATGTAGCCATGCTCTTGTGTACCCTTTCAAGTGATGTTTGTGTGGGCAGGTGGCATTCTCATGTCCCTGCTCTGTGGTTTATGAGCCAAAGTGTACCTGCATGAGTCTGACCTACATCTGAATCTGCAGGCCCATTCCCACAGGGTGGGTTCCTCATTGGCTCTCCATTCATTTAGCCCCCTCTGTGGCCGATGAAAATGGGAGGTGCAGGAAGAGTTTCTCTTTTTCCTTCTCAAGCTGTCCTGCTGGCTGGAAGGTGCAAGGTATCCCAGGTGTATGGAGACCTTGGGCCTCATGGAGCAAGCCTGCTGTATTTGGCCAGGCTGTTGACCTGAGGTGAGTTCCAGCCACAGAGGCCTCAGGCACGTGGCCTGTGGTGTTGAGTTGTGTCTGGATGTCCGGCCCAAGGGGCCAATGGTGTCAGACTGTGGGTAACGAAATTCTCCTTGGAGGTCTAATGCAAAAGGGAGCTTGGTGGGAGTGAGGAAGGGTCCAGATATTGATTTTCTGTCATGCCTACCTGTCATGGCAGCAGACCTCTAGGAGGAGCTTGACATTGCCCAAGTAAACCAGGAATGTTCTGATGCAAACCCAGCATCTGCTATTTCAGTGCTGGGCATTTGTATTGTCTCCTGGCAGGTCCCACCCGTACCACTGTGCTCAGACCCAAGTTCTTAAAAGTGACATCTGCATTAGAGTCTGGTGAGGCTCCAGCTTGTAGACATTATGAGTCTTTCATGTCAGGTTCTGTCCATTAAGGAGCAGGGTTTAACTCTTACCTGCAAAAGGACACTTGTCTACCCTTTCGCCTTCTCTACCCTTGTCACCTCTGCTGAGTCAGTTCAGCTCCATTCAGTCAGCTTGGGGAGCCCCCTCATTAGTGTCTTATGAACTGGGAATCCTCAGCTGTGGTCAGTGTGCAGAGGAGGTTGGACTTGGATAGGCATTGGTCTAGGGCCATAGGTGTGAACTGGCTCTTCTGCATTTTAGGAGCTAGACCTGGGTCCAAGATATGGTGAGGCCAGTGGAGGAGCTCAGAGGATCTTAGTCAGAGACAGACACCCCCAGGAATAGCCAAGCCTAGTCACATTCATCCTATGGGCCCATGGATGGAGACAGGCTGATACAAATGGGAAGCGCTAGAGGTATGGCACTACCGGCAAGTACATGACAAGCTGAGCCTGCAGGCCAAGGTGACATGGCATGGATGAGATGGGTGGCTTTCTCCAGACTCACACCTGACCCAGTTTTGCAATGCAACCTCTGCTGGTTATACCTGTCTGTTGAGTGAGCTTGTGATCCCTCCAGTGTAAAGGCCCATGTAAGGGGAAGATGGTGGCCATGTGGGTTGAGGTTGCATGCTGGAGATGAGGCCCTTGCTTTGCTAAAATGAGGGCCAGATGTTCATGTGCAGTGTGCGGTAGTGTGCTGTGTGTCCAGGAAACACTCACACACCAGGAAGTCCACATCATGTCTGTCCTTTGCAGGCACAGATGGAAATGTACTCTTAAATGTGGGAAGCTCCTGAGGTATCAGGAAAAACCAAGCAGATGGTAGAGTTAGAGCAAAAGCCAGGGCAGCACTGTGTGAGTGAAATGAATGCTATTCTGTCCTTCACACATGGAGTTTTTCATCTGCATTATTCAGGGGGTGGTGCCGTGCGAGGTCCCAGTGGAGCCGTGGAGTTGCTTCCCCCACTGTGTCCTGTTGATGAGATTTGTGGCTGTGGATGGATGAGGATGGAAAGCATTTCCTTCTTCCAGGTACAGCCATTGTCCTAAGGAGTCTGTAGTGTCATCAGGACCTCTGTCTTCATGGGCAGAAATGACCCTTGGAGGTTTACAGCTCCTGCCGGCTGTGTATTTCTGGACCATAGTGGCAGGGCCTAGCGTCCCACAGACCTTCATGGTCTTCTATATTTTTAAAAAAAATAATT